TTATTCATTTGAAATTATTTACATTGAGATTAATATATGTATGATTGTTGGACTATAGTAGTATTTGTATATATTGAATTTATATATATAAAGAAATTTATTTAAAATTATTAAGATTGAGATTAATATGTGTATGGTTATTGACATGTGTGGTTATCAGTTGATATATTAATATACATTGTCAAATTGAAATTCAAATTAGGTAACTAAATGATGGAGGATCGTAGTTGGATAGATCGTCATGTAGACGATGATGGTTTTGTTACCAATGAATTCAAAGAAAGGGGTGCAATTTGTTGTGAGATTTGCATTCTTTAGACCCAAAGCAAAATCAGAGATCAAGTGTTTTTGTTTGAATGTAAATGTAGGAAATGGGGGAACCTTGAGGTTATCTTTATGCATTTGTGTAAATATGAGTTTATGAGTAACTATTATATATAGTATATGATGTGCTAAAATTACCCTAACAAGTGTATTAGTTGCTCCAAGTAATATAATGATAAGTAGAGTGTCGAACCCACGAGGATTGTGATTAACTAATTACCAAAATAATTAATCCAAATTTATTTGAACAATCGAAAAGGAAGAAATTTTAATTAAAAGTAATAAAAAGAAAATAACAATTAAAATAAACCTAATAAAGATATGAGGTATTAAGGCATCAACTTCACCATAATTAATTAATATGGATTTTCAATTATTATATTTTTAAGATATTACTATTCATATGGCAGCCGGATTTCCTATTCTATTCGATGTACTTTCTCAAGTTATACCAAACCTATCTTAATCTATTAACTCACTATATTTTTATGTGAATTTAAATAGATAAAGATGCATTATGTTCTGTGAAATTCCCTAGTTTATGTAGAAAATTAAGTCTGCTTATCACTAATGATGTACAAATCTCATTGGTCCATCTTTGGCTTTCGTTCAATTCATGGTATATATTATTAGAAGCTATTGCATAAAATCTCCTCTCGATCTCAATTATGCTCTCCAAATCAATTTTAATGGTGATCAATCATTAAAAAGTATTAAGAACAATAATATATATTTATCATGGAATAGCAATCTCAAAAGTGTAAAAATCATAAAAACCCATATTGAATTGATTAGGCTACATCTTAGCCCTAGTTGACTAAATTAGTTCATAATAAAAATAATAAAACTTAAAATTATAATTATGAACATTCAAATATCAAATAATAGATAAAAAGAATCTAAGGAAAAACAAAACCCAATTTGGGGGAATTAGACTCATTTATATTTTATTGTTGATGAAACCTCTATCTTGATATTTAATAATGCCTAAAAGAGGGCTGCCACCAGCCTCCCAAAGCTCTCTCAATTCTGAATTTAGATGGATATTTATAGGAATTTAAAAACCCTAGTTGGAATAGAAGTAGGACTTCGAAGAGAATAGGAAACTTGAATTTTGAATGCTGAACGCATGGTACTGACACCCCGAATTACGTGTTGACACAAAATAGGAAACAAAAAGTCTAATTCTAGATGCTTAACGCATGGTGTGGACACCCCTATTATGTGTCGATACTACACCCGTGTGGAGTTTCTGGTCTCTCTGCAATTTCTTCAATGGTAGAATGGCAGATTTGGTCTTCCAACTTTCGTACAATGAGCAATTAGATCCCAAAACTCAAGATTCATTCATTTAAATCCCAAAGAGGCATCCTTCTTGCAATTTAGTCCCTCAACTTTCAAAGGATGTTTAATTAATCCCACAAACTCCTATTTTTATGCATTCAAGTTCTTTTTTGCACAATGAATAGAAGCCATGTAAAATCTCATAAAACTCATCCAAATATCAATAATATCAAAATAAAAATTTCACATTAATATATATATAAATTTAGCTCATCAAATTCCCCCAAACTTAAGTTTTACTCTTCCTTGAGTAAAATAAAAAAAACAAAAGAAACAAAAAAAAAAAAATAAAACCTAATTTACTTTCGTAGGAATCACGATTGCATTTAGCATGTGCAACAAGCCTTTAAACCCCTATGTCACTGTCACGCCCCAGAACCTGAATCCGAGGCGTGACAAACGCCGTGCACTCGTGAGAGGAACCCATAAATGCACAAGGCTCGAAACTTATCATACCACAATCTGATACCACTCCATAACTTAAATCAAACATCTCAATTTATTTCTATATCCAAAATGACTTAAATCCAAGTAATTGATCTAATGACTGAAATCTGTTTTGATCTCATAAATTCAAGGTAAAATCTATCTTACAAAAGCATGATTTATTTCTAAAATCTATATCAATCTTGAAATGACTAGCCTTCTAACTCGTCACTTCCCATGGTTTCCCCGTTCTCGATTTCGCTTCCTGAAATGGTGGACAAGGAAAAACTATGAGATAACTCAGTAAGTAAAATATGAAGTGCTCTTTTTAAACTTATAGCATGCCAACAAGTGTAATCATGAAAAACGGATACAGTACGGGAATGAAATAGACGTCTCCTCTATAGGTCATGGCCAGTGTTATAAACCTCCCACTGGCAGGCACACTATTTGCTGGTGTATAACCCCCACTAGCAGGGTCACTCGAACGAACTGGTTTTATCAATAACATGTCGACATGTGCTAGCGTTTATAAATCCCCATTAGCAGGGTCACTAATAACATGACCACATCGGAGACAAAACAGGCAGAAGTTAACAGAAAAACCATACTTTACACATCATTTCCAGATCATCAAGGCAGTTAAATAAACTTCAAGTAGGCATACTCAATTCAATAGAAAACATAACAATTTCATTTCAAATCAGTCATGCTCATATTTGTGTAAAACGGGTTTAGTCCCGCCACCATTCAAAAACAAGTTAAAATATGCTTTAAAATCGAAGGGCGTTACCATAATTTACTTACCTCACTCGCATAAAACTGAGGACTCAATCTTAGTGCTAAACTGACAGAACGATCAGGAACCTAATCAAAATATTCCAAAATTAATATCATACTATCACAAATTCAAAGTAAAAACTTCATTAGGATCACCCTTAATCACGATGCTATTTCTATTAGTCTCCACATAACCGGACATCTTCAAATTTATTATTATATTACAAACTAATCATTTAATCCACGTTAATTGTTGGCCATTAGTGCGTGAACAGTACTCATGAACAGTAACTGCAACTTCCAAAAATTGGCAAAACCATGGCTAATTCACGGGATTTCTCTCCAAAAATCACAGCAGCCAACTCAAGCAATTTACACATGAATTAAGCTTAATTATGCTCTAATTACTATCGAAATTCATCCCCCTAATTCAACAAAATTCGGACAGCACATGGGGCAATAATTAAATGGACAAATTCAGCAATTAAAGGATAATTTTAGGCTCAAAGGGGCTGTCACATACCAAAAATCCAGCAAAAAACCAGAGTTGTGGCTTGGGGAGGCCGGCGGGAAGTGCAGAAAATTCAGGGGAAACTACCAAAAATTGGAGAAACCAAGAGAAATCAATGTTAACCCAAGCCAATTCAAAGAAGAACAGAGGGATTGGTAGTTGTTTCTTACCCAAAAACCAGAGCAATTCGCCCCCACAAAGCAGGAGCAGCCGATGGTGAGGAACAGAGCAAAGCAGATCCGGAAATTCTCTGGAGGGGGGGGAAGTTTCTGGGTTCTATATGTGTTCTAGAGCAAGAAAAGAAGGAGAAATCCCCAAGCTTTTACCGGTTTTCTCAAGGGAGTGCTGTCGGCTTGGCTGGGTTTCCTTGCCGGCTGCAGGGAAGAAGAAGAACAGCAGAACACGCGAGCTGAAGAAAGAAAGAAGGAAGAAAAAATCACCTGATCCTTATCCAATTATTTTCTCTTTTAAGTCCCTCAACTTTTGAAATATTCACTATTAGGCCCAACAATATTTTTTTTTCACAATTAAGCCCCTAACTAAATGCTAAAATATCACAAAATTTTGGGATATTACCGTCACCCTAGTGGACGAGTTGTGTCTCGTGAGGGTTTTTAGTGGATTTACCCACATAATCCCAATGCAAGAATGCAAATATATGATTGCATGCAAAGAAAATTTAGGAATTAAATTTCAATTAGATACAAAGTTTCAAATATTCAAGAGTTCTCATACATTCACTTAAAGTAAAATACTCCATCCTATTTTTCACACCACTTGTTAAAAGATTTAGTCCATGAGCACTTAGTGTGTGTGGAAATTTTTAGTAAGAAGTCTCAAGTTTAGACCTTCACACCTTAGCACTTATTACTTTTTTTTTATTTCTCCCCCCCCTTTTTTATTCAAGAGTTCTCATACATTCACTTAAAGTAAAATACTCCATCTTATTTTTCACACCACTTGTTAAAAGATTTAGTCCATGAGCACTTAGTGTGTGTGGAAATTTTTAGTAAGAAGTCTCAAGTTTAGACCTTCACACC